CCGATTTATCAACAGAGAATGGTCTAACACTTACATTGGTAACAACACATCAGCAGGTCTTGTTGTTAACCTTTCCCCGAGTTCCAACATAGCATTTCTTTGGCGTACAAATATTTACATTCATTAATTGAAGAGCAAGCAAATGATAATCGTTTGTGTGTTTGTTTGTCATCTTAGTGAAAGATCAAATACAAATACATAAATTAATTTACATTCCGACTTATACCCAGAAAAAAAAATTCTTCAAAAATATGAATGGAGACTTTAGCCCTTTGGAGAGATTTTGGAATAGCAGCAAATTTTTCAAACATATATTGAATTTTTATTACATTTTTTACAAAACTTAAAAAAAATTGAATCGATACAATTCGTAGTTCCAATCATGTATATAATAATAATTGAAATATAATTAAAAATGTCTATAATAAAGGTGTAAACCCTCTCAGCCTCAATGAATGCATTACTGAAATTAAACATCATGATCATTGCGTATCGAGCTCGGTGATGTCGTACGGCCTATTAACATCACCCCTACAACCACTCAATTTCACTCAATCGTATAACCAAAATATTTAACTACTGTTCGGCATAAATTTGTCATCTCTCAAACAAATTCGGTGTAAGATGATACCGCTGCTAATAATAAGCTTGAGAGAATCATCAGTAGTCAGACCCAGCGGAGCTACACCTTCTACGCATGCTTGAGAATCTTCAAAACACCAATTAGCACCACACAATCATCGATGTCATCCATTTTTGTCATTTTTGTGTTTACATTTATGGAAAAGCGTAAATAGAGGTCTATGGATGGATGAATGGAGAACTATGATCGAACACAGTTGACATACTATTATTTATCTGAGCTACGCATGATTTATACTCAACGAACCCGCGATGAATGGTTACCCCTCTAAGGGAAAGATTAGAATTTTAGATTTTATTTAGCACATTCGGTGGCTATGGTGGGTGACCCAGTGACACTATTTTATGTGTTCGGAAAATTTAATGGAAATAACCAGATCGTAGATTAATAACATTTTTACGAAGCTTAAAGAAGGCGTTGATTTTTTTAAGGCTATATAAGGCGTGGATTTTAAAAAATATGTTTTCAAGGGCTTATAGAAGCTCTTTCAAAGTTCTTCTCTTCCCAAGTTCTATAAACTGGAGACCTTCCGCAATATAATTCTATAAATAAAAGACCTTTTAGATGCCAGTACTTCTGATTCATTTAGAAAATATTTGTAATAAATTCTTTCACAAATCTTCTATAGAAGTTTGTGCTATTTTTAGAAGATATGTCGCATTTGAATTTAAATTATGTCTTGACGATGTATCTCCCAATTCCCAGCTGACAATATATGTGTGGTCTTTATATAGTCATTTAATGAAAGAATAATGACAAACTATCCCTCTCAAACACCTTCCCATCACCCTCATCCGACATGAAGACTATTTGCGTAAAAAGTTAACAAACAATTGTTGAAAACATTAACAATGGTGAATGAATTAGGCGATAAATGACACACATACACAAACATACATAGAGACATGCATATACCGAATCAATATTATTATTGAGGTGTAGAAAGAATCGTTTGATTCATCGGAAGCGGTAGCCAGCAACTGGAGCATTCTACCCTGGAACATGTACTTACCTGCAGCTGAAAATAAAGAGGAAAAAAGAATTAGGAATTATTATTGTGAATAAAATGAAAGGAAACATTTTGAAAAATTTGGAAATAATTTTTTTTTTAATTTAAAAAAAATAATAAATCGGAAATTTACATCATCCCAGCAAAAACGAGAGGAATGAAAAACTTTAAAATTGTACTTCTATAATCTAGAGACCTTCCGCAATTCTTCTATCAATAGAGGTCCTGCTATAGGCGAGAAATATTTCTTTTATGTACTGAAGGTCCTCCACAGATCTCATATTTTTTGGAGGTTTTTTTATCAACCTAATTTGAAAAGTAGAAACTTTTCCCAAACGGTGACCGAAAGACCTTCGATATGTTTTCTATCAAAAAACTACACCCAAACGTCTTCTATAAATAGGGAGTCTTCTACAGATCTTCAACAGGAAAGATGTCGTTCCTTCGATCTTCTTGCAGATGGAAAGACCTCCTAAAATTAGTCTGTGGACTATCGATAAAAGACCTTTTAGAAATATTCTATATTATATTAATGGACTGAAGACGTTTCACAGATCTCATATTTATTCGGGGCCTTCTAGCCTTCTTTTTCGAAAAATAGAAACTCCACAGATCTCATATTTTTTCTAGGCTTTCTACCAACCTAATTCGAAAAATAGAAACATTTCCCAAATGGTGACCGAAAGACCTTCGATATGTCGTATATCAAAAAAACTACACCCAAACGTCTTCTATAAATAGGGAGTCATCTACAGATCTTCAACAGGAAAGATATCGTTCCTCCGATTTTCTTGTATATGAAAAGATCTTCTACAAGTCTTCTGTAGACTGAAGGTCTTCTATAAAGTGGAAACCTTCCCCAGTTCTCCTATCGATAGAAGACCTTTTACAGATATTCTATATTGACCGAACACCTTCCACAGATTTCCTATTTATTCGGGGTCTTTTACCCTTCTTATTCGAAAAATAGAAACTCTTACAAATGACTTTAACGGAGACCGGAAGACCTTCATCAGTCTTCTATCGAAGAATGTACCTCCAAAGGTATTCTTTAAATAAAAACCCTACTGGAGGCCGAAAACATGGACTTCTGGTCTTATTGTAGATGGAAACATTTTTTGCTAGTCTTCGTTGCACTAAAAGTCTTCTATAAACTGGAGACCTTCCACTGCTCTTCAATCAATAGAAGGCATTTTACGGGTATTTTTTATGCGAGAACGTTGCTTCCGGTCCTTTTATGGACTGAAGGCCTTCTACAAATCTCCAATTTATACGAGGCCTTCCACCCATCTTATTCAAAAATTAAAGATCTTCTAAAGATGTTTAACAGAGACCGCAAGACCTTCGATCGGTCTTCTCCAAAGTAATTCTAGAAATTGATAGCCCTACTTTCTTTCAAAAGTCTTCTTTAAATAGAGAGCCTTCTATAGGTCACCAATAGACTGGAGGCCGAAACATTGAAAGCTTTTCTGTAAGTCTTCGTTGCACTAAAAGTCTTCTATGAATTAGAGACCCTCCCTAGTTCTTCAATCAACAGAAGGCATTTTACAGGTATTTTTATAGGCGAGAACGTTCCCGCTGTTCCTTTTATGGATTAAGGGCCTTTTATAGATCTCATATATACGAGGCCTTCCGCCCATTTTATTCAAAAATGTATTATCTTACAAAGATATTTAACAGAGACCGCAAGACCTTCGACCGGTCTTCTCCAAAGGACATCTAGAACAAGATAGCCTTCTACAGATCGTCAATAGACTAGAGACCTACCATAGGTAAATACCAACATGAAGGACATATGTCGTTCCTCCGATCTTCTCGAAGACTTTCACAAGCCTTCTGTAGGCGAGAAACCATTCTTTTATGGAATTTTTTATAATATTCGAAAAATAGAAGCTCTTCCAAAGGTATTTAACGGAGGCCGGAAGACCTTCGATCGTCTTTCTATAGATGAATGAGAATTTCCAAAATTCTTCTATAAGTAGCGAATCTTCTCCAGTTCGTCAATAGACTAAAAGCATATCACAGGCACATCAAGGATAAATGGCGTTCATCCGGTCTTATTGTGTATCGAAAGACCTTATCGAAAGACCTTCTCAGGACTGATGGTCTTCTATAAATTGAATACCTTTCAGAGTTATTTAATCAATAGGTGGCAATCTAGCTATGCGAAAAGCTTTCCATCCGGTCATTTTATATACTGAAACCTATCACAGATGTCACATTTATTGGAGGCCTTCCACCCATATTATTTAAGCTGGAATAACTTCGGGTTCGGTCTACTGTAGAAGAAATTACTTCCAATAAATAGAGAGTCTTCTACAAATCTTCAATAGACGGCATAGCTGCCACAGGTACGCCAAAACTAAGAAAATATGGAAATGAAAAACATCTTCTCTCTCCTGTGGACTGAACATCTTCTATAAACTGAAGACCTTATGTAGATCTTCTATCGATACAGACCTGTTATAGGCGACTGAAGGCCTTTTATAGATCTACTATTTATCCAAGATCTTCCGCCCATGTTATTCTAAAAATATAAGCTCTTCCAAAGGACTTTAATGGAGATCGTAAGACTTTCGATTACACTTCTGTAGATAAAAGTACTTCCAAAGGTCTTCTACAAATAGAGAGCCTTCTACAGTTCGATCTTCAATATACTGGAGGCCTATCAAAGGTACACACAAACATGAAGGATATATTTCGTTCCTTCGATCCTTTTTTAGGTGGAAACACCTGCGGAAAAAAATTGAAAATATTTTTTTTTATTTTTTTTTTTAGAAAAAACAAAAAAATATTTCGAAGAATTCCGTTATCCACTGAGATTCCACTTCCCACCAAAAAACGGAGAAGAAGAAGATGAAAAAACTTTAAAACAATAAGAAATAGAAAGAACAAACACAATTTTTTGGCTTCTACAAATATTGACACAATTTTAGAATGCTACATGAAAAAACCATTTCTTCGTCAACAGAAATTGGTGGCCCGCCGACGGTGCTGCTGCTGCTGGTGGAGAGGGTGGCCTCCCAAACAACAGAGAAGAATCGAATCGAAGAATATTTGTATGTATGAATGAGAGAGAAAGTTAGCGGCGATCTGATCGATTGAACACAGCTCAGCAAGGTGGTAAGAAATAATAGCATGACAATTGTCTGGCTTGACTTTCTTCACTTCTCAGGTGGGTTGGTATAAAAGCCATGGTTGGTATCTACTTCGACATCAGTTGGTCAAGAGAAAGAAAGAAACGTAACAAAAATCGGATTGAGACCAAGCAGATAAGTGACACAGTTGTTGGATTATTAAAGCAAGGAGTATCAAAAAAGGATTATACAAAAAATAATGTTGCGGATAATGAGAGCTGTCGTGGTGGTGGTTATGTTAATAACCCCATCCATTTATTGTTCGGATCAAGTGGAGAATAACTCCAATAAAACCCTAGAAGTATCATTCCGTGAGGCCCGACGCAGCAATCTGCCCGAGAGCTGTTTGACCACAGATGATGCCAGCGGCACGTGTATGACCAGATTTAGGTGCATGAGTTCCGGTGGCACACCCAAAGGCTACTGCAGTGGTTCCTATGGAGTTTGTTGTGAAAGTAAGCCATTCAAAAAAATGCAATACCATTACCTTAAATCGAAATACTAATCGCAAAAACTCTCTTCCAGCCAATCTCCAATGCAATGCCATTTCAACCATGAAACGTACGATAATTAAAAATCCCGCTCTGTTCACCCAAGACCCCTGTGAATATCACATACAGGCCTACAGTCAAAATGTCTGTCAACTTCTAATCGAATTTCAACGATTTGAGTTGCAACCTCCGACCTTTAATCCCGGTACACACACCTTGGAATGTGGTGATAGCCTCATGATCGGTGACTTTACCTTATGTGGTGATAACACCGGACAACATCTCTACTTGCCCTTTAATGTAGCCAATGGTATACAGGAAATCACACTGACATTTAATTTACCCAATCGTTGGTCTTTCAATAATTGGCGTATGGTTATAACACAATTGGAATGTCCCGCAGCCAAGAAACGTCACCAGCAGCAGCAGCCGCAACAACAAAGTTTTATGCCATTTGTAAATGCAAATAATTTACCAAATTTAAGATCGATATTTTCTTCGCATCATAATGGAGATTTGGAGCTGTTGGCTCCACCTGGATGTCATCAATATTTCACACAGCCAATGGGTACCATAAAGTCTTTTAATTTTAAAGATGATGCCAGCACCTATTATTTGCCGAACATGAATTATGTCATCTGTATTAAGCCGACCAGTGGAGCATCGATGATTGAGTGAGTACTAACAAAAGAGTAGAGAATCTTCAAAAGAAATTCCGCTTATAGAGCTTCCAAGGACCTGTCGTAGGTTTTTTATTAAGAGTAGATTTTTATTTCAAAGATAAAATACCTTACACAGGACTTCTATAGATAGAAGTTCTTACATAGGTCTCAAATATATATCATAATAGATACGACTGGTTTTATATAGATAACAGGCACTTCAAGTAGCAGATAGGGAGAGATACCCTCCAAAAGAAATGTTCATTCAGAAACTACTTTGTGTATCTCAAAAAATTAATTTAATTGATCTTCTACCAATAAAAGGCCTTCCACGAGTATTCTTCAGACTGAAGGGCACCCACAGGTCCACCTACACTGACATTCTGAACACTATATGCCAGGGCTTCCATAGGTCGCCTATCGAAAATAGAAAGTAAGTAAGGTTACTTTATGGAAATTTTACGTTCGAAATTTGAGATGTTTCATCGATATTCATTGGAAAGAAAGCCTGTGTAACCTCTGTACAGGTCTTTTATATAATTGATAGTCAATGGAAAACCTTCCTTCGATTCTTTTGTAGTCTGCGGATCTTTCCACAGGACTTCCATTTGACCTTCCAGGGTTCTTCTATCGATAAAAAGTCCTATGAAAGCCTTTTTTAAGCGAGAAACCATCCGCCCGACCCTTTTATGAACTGAATACTTTCCACGGATCTCCTTTTTATGCGAAACCTTCCACACATCTTCTTCGAAGGCTGGAAGACCTTCGATCAGTCTTCTAAAAATGAATGTACTTCCAAAAATCTTCTATAAATAGAGAGCATTCTACAATAGACTGGTGGCCTACCACAGGTACACCAACATGGAGGATATGTGTCGTTCTTTCGGTCATCTTGTAGATAGATAGGCCTCCCACAATTTATTTATAGTATGCGGGTCTTTCCACAGGATTTCTATGAACTGGAAATCTTCTGCAGTTCTTATTCTCTCCAAATAACCTTCCATCCTGTCATTATATGGACTGACGGCCTTGCACAACTCTCGTTTTTAGACGAGACCTTCTACCCATATTATTCGAAAAGAGAAGCTCTTCCAAAGCTACTTAACCGCGACCTTAAAACCTTTGATCGGTCTTCTTTAGATGAGAGTGCTTCCAAATGACTTTTATAAATAGAGAGCCTTCTATAGATCTTTAATAGACTAGAGGTCCAGCACAGGTACACCAACATGAAGGATATATTTCGTTCCTCCGGTCTTCTTGTTGATGGGAAAGACTTTCTATGAGTCTTCTGTGGATTGAAAGCCTTCTATAAACTTTTTACAGGACTTCTATAAACTAGAAACCTTCCGCAGTTCACCTGCCGAAAGAGGACTTTCTATAAGAGTCTTCAATAGACTGGAAGTCCATCACAGATGTACCAACATTAAGGTCCTCTGTAGATGGGAAGATCTTCTACGAGTCTTCTTTGGACTGAAGGTCCTCTTCCAAAGTTCTTCTATCAATAAAAACCGTTTACAGGCCTTCCATAGGCGAGAACCATTTTTCCGGCCCATTTATGGACCTCCAAAGATTTTATTGGAAAAAAATAAGTTCCCCTTTAATGAAGACCGAAATTGCTTATAATGAAGATTTCCGATCGGATGAAAGTAGTTCCAAAGGTCTTCTATAAATATAGGGCCTTCTTCAGGTATTCTGTAGATAGAAAGATATTCTGAGTCTTTTGTGCACTCAAGGTCTTCTGAAAACTGCAGACCTTCCGCAGTTTTTCTATCAGTAGAATACCAGGAATACAGGCATTCTATGGGCATTCCTAGATGGCCTTCCACAGATCTCCAATTTATACAAGGCCTACCACATGTGTAAAGTCTTTTCCGTTGAAGACCTGGATATATTCTTCATACAAGCTCTTTAGACCATCTTCTATATAAATGAGGCATTCTTTCTATCAAGAATTCGGCAGGTACTTTCTCGTTTTTCTTCTGGTGTATTGTTATAGGAGACCATTTTCCATAGAAGAAGTCTTCTTCATAGGAAATTTGTTTATATAAAAAACCAGCGATTTATATAATTCTTTCTCCCTTTCATTTCAGATATCAAGCCACCAAATTTTCCATGTCCAATGAAGTAGCCACCTCGGCTGGCTATGACACGGATTGTCACAGTACCATACAAACGGATGGCCGGAGAGAGGATTATCTTATGATACCACAATCATTTGTGGCAAATAGTATGAATATTTTGCCAACCTACTATTGTGGTACATCGTTGCAAACCCGACCCTCGCTAATTGCCTCAGCACCGTTTATCATGTATTTCAGTAGTGATGGATTTACCGATGAAACTGAAACAGGATTCAGTATAAATTATCGTGTTCGTACGGCATATTAATTTTAAAAATATATATTTATTTAGATTTAAGGAGATACTTCTTTTTTACAAAACAAAAATATAAATTATTATACGTACCCATTGCATTTCTATAGATTATAATTAATTATAAAAATATTATAAACTACAGGATTATTATTTATAAAAAAATTCTAATAAATGTAAGATTTTTATGAGGTTCTTGAAAAAAAATATTCGTTAAAAATCCATGCCTTATTGTGGACTCTGAAAAAACGTTCTTTCAAAATTCACGCCTTTTGGGGTCACTGAAAAAATGTTCTTTAAAAATCCACCCCTTATTGTGGACTCTGAAAAAAATCTTTAAAAATCCACTCTTTCAAAAAATATTATTTTAACAATCCAATCCTTCAAAAATATTCTTTTAACAATCCAATCCTTCAAAAATATTCTTTTAAAAATCCACTCCTTCAAGAAATATTCCTTTAAAAATCCACGCCTTTGATAGACCCTTAAAAAATTCTTTTAAAAATCCACGCCTTTGATAGACCCTTAAAAGAAATCTTTAAAAAATTCATGCCTTTGATAGACCCTTAAAAGAAATCTTTAAAAAATTCATGCCTTTGATAGACCCTTAAAAAAATATTTTAAAAATCCACGCCTTTGATAGACCCTTAAAAAAATTATTTTAAAAATCCACGCCTTTGATAGACCTGTAAAAAAATATTTTAAAAATCCACGCCTTTGATAGAACCTTAAAAAAATTATTTTAAAAATCCACGCCTTTGATAGACCGTTAAAAAAATTCTTTTAAAAATCCACGCCTTTGAAAGACCTCTAAAAATATTCTTTAAAAAAATCCACGCCTTTGAAAGACCCCGAAAACTAGTCTTAAAAAATCCACGCCTTGGATAGACCCTGAAAAACTAGTTGTAAAAAAATCCACGCCTTTGAAAGACCCTTAAAAAATTATTTTAAAAATCCACGCCTTTGATAGACCCTTAAAAAATTCTTTTAAAAATCCACGCCTTTGATAGACCCTTAAACAAATTCTTTTAAAAATCCACGCCTTTGATAGACCCTCAAAAAATATTATTTTAAAAATCCACGCCTATGATGGACCCATAAGAAATATTTTTTTAAAAAATCCACGCCAACCTGAAAAAATATTCTTTAAAAAATCCACCCTGAAAAAATATTCTTTAAAAAATCCACGCCTTGCTTAGAACCTCACAATACATCCCAAAAATAGTTTTTAAAAAATCCATGCCTTCTTTCCATCACTCAAATAATATTCTTTAAAAAAACTGGACCCATCTTAATATTTTCAAAATTTTTACAGAATTTAATTGATAGCCAATTTCCAAAAATAGAGCCACTCCCATTTTTGATAAAATATCTCTCTTTCAACATCAGAGATGAGTAATCTCCACAAAAGATATGGACTCTATGACACACTCCAAGCAATAAAAGTCTTATCGATTCGGGATGGTGGGTCACCACCTTATCTCGCTGCATATAAAAGGTGACGATGACAATTAATTCAAAAGAAAGTAGTCAATCAAAAGAAGAACAGCAAAAGGGAAATCGAAGCGGAACCCAGAACAAAAATGCAGTTGACAATTGTAACCACTTTCGTTGGTTGTCTATTGTGGCTTGCCCAAGTTGATGCCACCTTGGATCTATTATTACCAAATCAAGGGAGACAGGGTAAGAGAAGCTGCCAATTAAAAAAAATCAGTCATTAAAATTACTTTTACTTCCAGAAACTTCGAAATGCAATGGTGTATCAAAATCCAAACAGACGATAATCAAAAATCCCCCCACTCTCGCCGAAGATTCTTGTGTCTATCACATTCGACCCTATAGCCCTAATGTCTGCCAATTGCTGGTGGAATTCAAGGAGTTTGAATTACAACAACCCGTCTTAGATCCCCAAACTCTGCGCCTAGAATGTGGTGATCATTTGGAAATAGGAGATTTTTCTCTATGTGGTGATAATACGGGACAACATCTCTATTTACCCTTTAACGTGGCAAAGGGTGAGAAAGAAATCGCCCTAACATTTAATTTACCCCATCGATGGTCATCATCGAAATGGCATTTGATTGTGACCCAACTGGAATGTCCAGTCCATAAGAGATTGGGTCAGCGATTATTGGATGAAGTTCTAATGGATGGGAGAACAATTTTAAGTGCCATGGCGTCGGATAGCAGTCATGATTGGGAATTATTGGCACCCACGGGATGTAATCAATATTTCACCAAGACGGTTGGGACAATTAAAAGCTTCAATTTCAAAAATGATGGCTCTTCGCGCTATTTGCCGAATATGAAATATGTGATCTGCATTAAGGCTGTCAATGGGGCGACAATTATTGAGTAAGTAAAACGTTTATAATTTTCAGGGTCCAATATGGGCCCTCAAATGACATAGATTTCTAAAGAATATTTTTTTCAAGGTCCCCAATTTGTCTAGATTTCGAAAGCAAATAATATTTTTGCGGGGTCTATACAAGTCGTAGATTTCTTTGGATGTACTAAAAATTTTGTTGGGGGTCTATACAAGGCGTGGATTTTTTTTATATTTTTGGGGGTCTATAAAAAGCGCATAGATTTCTCAAGGAATATTTTTCAAGGACCATCGTAGATTTTAAAGTTCTTAAAGGATATTTTTTCAAAGAACATCCGAGGCATGGATTGGTTTCTTTAAAACAATATTTTTTTCAAGGATCATCACAGATGTTTATTTTTAAAACATATTTTCCAAGGACTAATAGATGCTTGGACTTTTAAAACATATTTTTCCAAGGTTTATAAGAAGAACCATCACAAGGAGTGTATTTTTTATCGAATATTTTTTCAAGAACCCATCACAAGACGTTTCATTTTTAAATTATATTTTTTCAGGAAAATAATATTTTTCCCCTTTCCTATACTCTTGCAGATACCAAGCTACGAAATTCTCACTATCGAATGAAATTGAAAGTTCTGCCGGCTACGATGGCGATTGTCATAGTACCATACAAACGGATGGCCGGAGAGAGGATTATCTGATGATACCACAATCATATGTGGCAAACAGTATGAATATTTTGCCGACCTACTATTGTGGCACATCGATGCAAACCCGACCAGATGTTATTGCCTCGGCACCATTTAATCTCCTGTTCACTAGTGATTCGATAACCGATGAAACTGAAACTGGTTTTAGTATTAATTATCGTATAAGAAATCCTTAAAAGGAGTTATAAGAGAAAATAAAATCCTACCCCTCTGGGACATAGCATTTGAAATTGTTTTATTTTCCAGCCAACTCCTTGCGAAGATCGCATGGAGGTGCTAACAAAAAAATGGGGGTATACAATTGTTAAATAGCCACCCTGGGAAATTGTTATCAGTTAACATGTCTAGAAATTCTTTCGTTCTACTCTTTCGCTTTCGATTCTCCTCTAATTAGCGGTCATTAGTGGAAAAAGACGCTTTGGAGACTCCGTTTTTTTTTTTCTAATAAAAAATAATGCAATGCCTTCCATTGCTGTCGCCATTTATTGAAATGAGAAAAACAAATTGTCACGTTTTAATATTTGGTTGCGAAAAAAATAATATTTGGTAATGAGGATATTTTCATTGCAACTGTCTTTACGTTGTACACACTTGTTTTTTTTTTCCTGGTTCCAAATGAGGTCATTTAGTCCAGCCCTTTAGTTGGACAGCCATTTGAGATACCATATTGTGGCGGGGTAGTGGTGTTGATTCACACATTTCGCATATTTATTTTTTTTTTCAAAATCATTAAACGAGGACAAGTGCATCAACAATAAAAACAAAAATCGCAATGACAGAAAAAATCGAAATGTAATGGAGGCCACCAAAAAAAGCAACAATTATGACTGGAATGTACAGACCTTAACGCAAGATATTCTCTGGATTTTCAAAGCGAAGATTTTTCAAGGATTTTTTAAAGACCAAAACAAGGCGTCGATTTTTAAAAAGTTTCTACAGTGTGCCAACACAGGCGTGGATTTAAAAAAAATATTTTTTTTTCAAAGACCTAACTCAGGATTGGATTTTTAAAAAATATTTCCTTTTAAAGACCCAACTCAGACCCAAAAACATGTTTTTAAAGACCGAACTTTAAAAAAAACACATTTTTTTTAAGATGACAGCTATCATTGGATTTTTAAAAAATATATTTTCAGGACAACGACAGGGGTTGAATATTCAGTTGCAAGGATCCAACTCAGGCGTGGATTTTTATAAAAAAAAAAAGATTTCCACGGCAAGGCGTGAATTTTTAAAAATATTATTCAGGACCACGACAAGGCCTGATTAAAGCATATTTTTTTCAGGACCACGACAAGGCTTGGATTTTTTAAATAAGACAACGACAAGGCCTACACTTAAAAGAAAATATTTTTTTTTCAAAATCACGACATGACGTAGATTTTTATACCCTACACAACTATGTTGTCAGCATATTATAGCTTTGTGCAGCCCCAAGATTTTGTAACGCCGCTAAATATTGGTCCCAGATCCGCATTTAAGATCTAGACATGTGTGTCCGTCCGTCTGTCGATTATAATTTGTAAACACGATACAAGCCACAGTTATGGACCATCCTTCACGATGGGATGGCCAATGGCCAATGAAGACCCCTGTTGTTTTTGGCAAAGATCGGTTAATATTTAGGGGATGAAATGGACAAAAACTTAATTTTTGTCTGATTTTCTGATCGCTCCAGAGGCCGCAATTTTGCCCCAAACATCGAATTTTTACATGGAGAAGGGTATCGGGCCAAAGAATGAGTATGCCTGTTTTTATAAAGATCGGTCAATATTTGGCGGGTCAAATGGACCCTGACTTTTGTGTGAAAAATGACAAAATTTGTATTCTATAGCGCATAGATTTACCCATGAAGGACATAGACCCCAGAAATTGATAATATATCCAAGAGAAGAGGTTGGCCTGTAAATTGATACCAATTATATTGTCGTATGTATGTATGGGAGTTACACATATTTATATTTACAGGTGCTTAAGTATTGAGATATTATTTAATAAACCATTACCACACTAGAGGGCGGAAATATGGCGCTGATCGCTTTGAAATGTTCCATGAGGTTCCACTTATGGTCAAGTACAACGCCTATAATTTTCGGTGATGATCAGATAATAATTTTGGCATAAAGTGGACCGAAAATTTTTTTGTGTGTGTTTTTTTTTTCGATTCATTCTATAGGTTACAATTATAAGCCGAACATCACAACACAACCCACGGTGAAGGGAATATGGACAAGTAATTAGAAGGGCTGTACTGAATATTGATAATATTCGAAAAGTGTCAGTGTAAGGAAGAGATGCTGATGACCTCTAATCGGGCAAGCGGGTGCAACTATCACGAAATATTACCCAGGCGCGGAATAAAAATCCACAGAAAGATAGAATTCTGTGGTAGTTGTGTAGGTATCGTATGGTCGGCCGCGTCCGACTATACTGCTCCGCTCACTGGTTAAAGGATATGCTTTGTAGGCCTAACAGATCTTATATAAGCCCCTAGAAATTGTTTTCCAAAAATCCACGCCTACTTTTGACCTGGAAAAAATTGTGGTCAATAAAAAAAATATTCTTTAAAAAAATCAAGCCTATTGAGGTATCTGGAAAAAAAAGTCCTTTAAAAATCCACGCCTATTCTTTAAAAATGCCATGCCTATTACAGTTCTTGAAAAATATTTAAAAATACTCGACTCCTTGTGGTCCCTAAAAAAAATTCTTAAAAAATCCACCAGTTATTGTTGTCCCCGAAAAAATATTCTTTAACAAATCGACGTCAAGAATTGTGGGTACTTGGTCCATAAGATGCCCTTCAATCCCACTTGACTCACTGTATTTCGTTAATTCAATTTCATTTTCCTATTTCGGTTGTCTGAGTGGGTGTGAGTGTGTGCGTGTGTTTGTTTAGTTCGCTGTTGTTTTTCTTATCCTTTGAGTTTTTATACGTTGTCCGAAGAGTCCTCCTCGTCTTTTTTGCATTGCAAAAAAAAAAGAAAATATTACCATTTGGGCACTTATTTTCCGGTACAAGTATTGCTACAACAATCAGCATCCTTGTCGCCATCCAGTAGTTATTTAACACAATTTCTTTGAAGAGGGATTTTTTTCCTACTTTGGTTCTAATGGGGAAATGATCAAACACGACAGTAATGGACCATACATCGTAGAATGATTCTGAGTGAAATAAGTAAACGTAGTTCCGTTTACTTAACTATTTCAGATATTTTTAACTAATTTTCTGCAACAGGCCTACCGAAGTTCTCAAGACTATAGAAAACCTCTCATATTTTGAACAAATGAAGGACCATGGTCCAATTAACAGGTCATGTTAGAGGCGAAATGATTTCACCCGAACAGTCAAAATTTGACTTAATCGTGTGAAGAGGTAAAAAAATTGACATTTTTGAGGAATTTTCTACCAAAATGACCGATAATATTCGCCTCTTGGATTTGAAGGTATTTTTATATTTTCCAGCCGGGTGTGCTGTAAGTTCCTCTTTGGATTCGTAATGTCTACCCCCTTTGAGTTGACCCCTGCAATTTGAATAACAGTTCTTAGTAGCTCAATTCGGAAACCCAAAATGCCCTCCATACCAAGCAATTGGAATAGAAGTACAAAACCCATTTCCCTTTTTTCTCTCGCTTTCCCCTTCTTTAATGTTTTTTTTTTTTTTCATTTTTGTATTTTACTTTGCCTGAACATTGACCGAAAATGCATTTACGTTTAGTTTGCTTGCAGCTGCGTTCACAACGTCCTGGTAGTGGTGGCTGGCTGATGGTGGCCATCCATGGTGATATTGGTTCATATTGGACCACTGGTTAAATGCATTGCAATGTGGTGTTTATGTAATGGCTAGAAGAATAAGCAACAATGAAAGGATGCAGGATATAAATGTCAAAGTGTGTGTGTGGTGTTGTGTGTTTTTGTGAAAAAACGAGTTTGTCCACTAGGTTGTTGTTTTTATTTTTTTGGATAGTTCCAAGTGTTAATTTATGGTAACATTTAGTTGCATCCTGTTATTCTCCTCCTCTTCTGTTGGTTGGCCTTTGAAAGGGACCATTTCAAAGATAGTTTGTGTGACGACTGTTGCTTGTAGCCTTTCAGGATTTTTTTGGAGTATCCCTAACCCCCTTTCCAAAGACCTTTGGAGGTAAGTTGGGGAATATTTGCATTTCTTCGCTGGTTGCTGGGAAAAATTGAAGCAACAATTTGTGCCTCATCTTAGCCGCAGATGTTTTTTGGAACACAAACGATGGGACTTTAACTCTTTTTTTTGAACCTTTAACCTGAAGTCATTTGGTTGCTATATTTTTTCTTACTTTAAATTTAAATAATATTTAAATGAAGTGTAATTTTTTGGAATTTTACATTATTTTTTTATTTTTAATTGAAAAATATTTTCCCCAAAAAAATGTAGTTCTTCATTAATGTATGAGTTCCCCAGAAAAATGCCAGTTATTGGTTCGATTTAAATAAAGTTTTATTATGTATTTGAATAAAGAACATTTTGTTTTATCGGGCAGAAGAAAAATCAGATGAGAACACAAGGATTATGGGAGTTTCACCGAAAAAATTATTCTTTTAAAAAAGCACACTGAAAAATATTCTTTAAAAAAAACCAAGCCATATATAGGACCCTGAAAAAATATCTTTAAAAAATCCACGCCTATTGAAGACCCTGAAAATGTCTTTTAAAAAATCCTTAAAAAGTCCGTGCCTTCCATAAGACCCTAAAGAATATTTTTTCTTTTCTTATAAGAACATCCACGCTTATAATAGGTCCTTCAAAAATATTTTTAAAATATCCACATCCATACTTTTAAAATCCACGCCATTTATAGGTCCTTGAAAACATATTTAAAAAATCAATGCATTGATTAGGTCCTTGAATTTTTTAAATCCTCGATTGTATTTTTGTATTCCTTAAAATTAACTTCAAATAATTTGATTTTTAAGATAAAAAAATAAATTTGAGTATACCGCACCCGCATGGAATCGACCATAAACAAAAATATTCAAATTGAGAAAAAAATATGTAGAACCGGAAAATATGCTACAAAATGCAATAAACCACTACACTATATATCCCCACACAGAGATACAGAGACCGACAGACGACGGAGGCAAATGAAAACTGAAGGAACCCACACACACACACATAAAGTCACAAATTCATAGCCATTCACA